CAAGGTTGCGGGGTCGCGAAATTCCCGATTTTGGCAAGAGCCGAAAACAGGGGCGGAGGCGGCCATTTCCTGATGCGGGCAAGCCGTGATATTTTATACTAAATAATTCAAAACAACCCTATTATTTCTTTTTATGCCCTCTTCTGGCTTATAATTTACTATAATCGCAATACTTTATTTTAGCATTTTAATATTAACTGATATAACACTAAATACTTAGCCACCTTAATAATAGCTAAATATACTGATATATACTTTATTGGCATTAACCACCTGCCATAATCCAATATACCTATTACAGCTAATCTACTAATAATAACGCTTTTATAATAATTGCCATTTTTAAATAGATAATCTAAAAATAAAATAACTATATCTAAATATAACCTCTCTAACCTTTCTGGCATAAACCTGCCTATTATATTAATTCCTGCAATAACCTGCCCTATATAGTTACTAAACTACTCCTATAATATAGCCTGTTACGTTATTATAGAATATAGCAGCCACTTATCTTTATCCTATAATTCTATTTATTGCCAAATATATATTAATATTCTCTATCTCTCCTTATACTTAAGCCATACATTATCCTCTATCCTACCATTAAATAGCATTATTATCGTTATATAGGCCTCCTTCTACTTAATCTTAAATAATTCAGCTAACCCCAGGCTATATTAAATAGCAGCTTTATATACTTTATCTAATACAGAATTAAATATTGCCCACTTTCACTACAATACAGGCTTATCATCTTTAATTACTTACATCAACTATTACAATACATCTAGTTTAAATCTATCTAAATATACTAGCTATCCTATCTAATTTAACTATAGGCTTGCCTCCCACTTATTATAAATATTCTATATCTATACTTTATCCTCACTTTTAAATATATCTTTATCTTTTTAATAAATTCGCTTTAAAAACTTGGCCATTTAGTTAATACCTTCTTATAGCTAGTCCTTATCTTTATAAACCTTAATATTGCATTTAACCTCAATAAAACCACTTTTCGCTTAAAACCAGAATAATTACTAATATTACATACCTTCTCTCTATAGCTTTTTAGTTATTATTATTTATTCTACATATTATCCTCTCTTACGGCCGCCAATAAACCTATACTCTACCTTATAATAATCTAAAATGTATCTATTATCTAATCCTATATACTTATATTTATTATAACCCTTACTGTTATCTTTAGGCAGTAAAATATATAGGATCCATTCTATAGTTAGTAATAGCAGTTCCTACTTTTCTAACTCTACCTAATTCTTAATAACACCAGAGATCATATTAACAGCTTCCTATACTTACCTTACTTTAAATTTTATTATTAATATATAGTTATTCTTTAAATATACTAATACTTTATTTGCAATATATATATATTTGCATTTTATATAAATAGGGAATAAAAATGCCAGTAAATAATATATAAATAGATCTATACTATATATATATTAAAAAATCGAATAGTTACTTAATTGTAATACTTAATATTTTTATCTCCTTACTTCTGCTATTACTTTCTTTTACTAGCCCCTTAATCTTAAATATTAAACTCTATTACTAATTGCCTGCTCTCTATACCTTATCTGGCCAATTAAACTGCTTAATTTCTCTACTTTCTATAATATCTTTTAATTAACTTCTAAACTTTAACTTAATATTATAACTATAAATAAACTAATTATACCTTAAAAATAAAATAGATAATTTACCTAAATATCTACTTTTTAATAATACCGGTTTTATTAAATTACCTACTATAGTTTTAATTTACACTAACCCCCTATTTCTAAATTGCACCTACCCCCTATCGTTAATAGCGCGGTTTCGATTTATATAGGATTTTAATTCGCGCCAACTTAATGCAATTTAGAATTTAGAGTTAGCACGCCAACTTACTACATCTAATTACGTGTGGTGCCGGCCTATATAATTGCTTTTCTAAGAAAATAATCTGCTAAACCTCCGCATGCACGAAGCAGCGTTGTGAACATCCTGGCCGACTTATCGCTGACGGAGACTCCAGAGGAGTAATGTCAATATGGCTGAATAGACGCTGATATTAGGGTTTCCTGGCAACCCTGGCTAGATCTCTGCACGTGAAGAAGTATCTTGCTAGTTTATCAATTTGGCGGACTCCTGGACTTTTCGAAATTGATTCTGGAATCCCCAAGAATCTCAAATGTTCCTCGGCTGACCTCGTGGTCCCTAAGCGTGCTATATCTACACATTTACCGACAATTGTTTTGAGAGCGCCCGGCAGGGCGGCAGTATCCAACCTCTTCTCGGTAAGCTGCAGAGCTTCCAGTAAAGCGCTCAACTTTCCAACGACCTGCGCAATTTGGGGGCTTGGCTGTGAAATTCTTTGGATATCTTCTTTATATCTCTGTATTTGACTTCGCAAAGAAGGCTGTAGCGTCTTGATATGTCGGGGTTGCGTTACCCACGGTGGGCGTAGCCGAGAAAGAACTCGCTTATTGCTAAGGCGTAGTACTAGATCGAGTAGTTCGTCTTGACTAGTGTGTTCATGTTGTTCTGAGACGAATATTAGAACTG